ACAATCCCCAATTATCTAATTATGCGTAAATTAAAACCTTGTCATAAGATCACCGTTAATGCACTTTTATACAACAAACTACTAGCCACTTCCAAACCCAAATGATTCCCCACTTTTGATGAATATAAATAAAAACTGAAGCTACTTCACTGTAAACTGAACAAATTAGATTCCTGAGAGCTCTTTTTGAGCCGTTCATTTACACTGATTCTGTGCAAACAACTACCAAAACTATTTATTATACTAGCAGAAATCCTAATGTAGGTGATCCAGCGTAAGCCATGAACCACCACTAGCAACTTATTCAACACTTCAAATGCTACAGTCATTCAAAAGCAAACGAAGGGGAAAAAAATGACACGGAGAACGAGAAAAACAAATGCAATAAAGAGCCTAGCAGGCGCAGACAAATCGATAATATTCAAATAGCTGCCCAACAGAATGCTGTAGCTAATTCAAGTTTTGCTTAGAGAATACCATTCGGGAAATATACCGAATGATTGAAATATCCTCTAACCAAAAGAGTACTGTTACTCTTTTTTAGCAGCCTTATGACGGTAACGGTAGCTATGTGGCGGCAAAAGTTCTTCAAACATGAAGGCATTATCCTCCAATGCCTGTAAAAGAAAAGAATCATATTAGTCAGAGATGCCAAAAAAAAAAAAAGTTCATCACATTAACTTTGAAAAGGCGTAAAATGGACTTTGTGCGTGATGATATTCATGACAGCTGCCAAAAATTTAAGTTTAACAAGCAGCGTGAAGCCTACTAAAAGCCTCAACTGACCACTCACAAGCAGGGCAATGAATAACTTCAGCTCAAAATAAATGCCTGAAGTAACTTATAGGGTACCGAAATTGCAGAACACTTACAAGCACAAGGGAGAGGGTAAACAGTGCAATTGAGACGCCAAGGTATATGTTAAACTTAGTTTGCAACTGGTTGTGAACTGCTTTGTACGGCTTGAACGGGACCGGCATGTAATCGTAGTTCACTGGAGGGCCAGGATTGAACTGAAAATATGAATTCTACATGTTACTTTCAAGAAAATGACAATAATTAGCCAATTTGAATGAAAAAAAAAAACTATTCAACTTAAGCGGAACAGGTGTTGTGCTAAACCCGAAAAAGTTAGTGGGGATCTGAGACTAAGGCGCAGTCTAAGAAAACATTCAAAAGCAACTTTAACAATGGTATTCACAAGGTAACAAGGTCATATATTATATTGCTAGAATTTAGTGGGAAGGATAACTGCTAGTTTGACTCCCAGTGGTTGCCACAAAAACCTTCTTTTTCCTGCTATACCTCAAATGTAAAAGCCGCCAGAAAATCGAACTATAAAGTGTAATCGGTATCAAATAACAAATCCAAGGACAAGAAAGAAGCCGATATTTTCTAGGCATTTTTTCAGAACCAAATGCTTTTCTAATTCTGGACGTTGAACCAGTCTTAAATGGCTGACTCAACAGTCAAAGTTAGTTGTGTTCACTGTATTCTTCTAGCAATAATCAGCATGACCGTGTAATGTAAAAGGCTTTTAGAAAGTACTCATCCAGCTTAGAAACGAGAAATTTGGTCAGAATTAAGCTTATATGGGAGATGTAAAAACACACACCAGGTAAAACAATCGGGATACAAGATTACTGCTTACAGCAAGTGAAAATACGTAAAAGTAGCAACCATTAGACAAATAGTCAAAGTAAATACAAGGAAACCTTTTTCCCCCCCTAAATTAAGCACTTAGTGAACTTACGTCAGCTGCATGACCACTGGCACGAGCTTGTCTTCGAAAAACTACAGGTAGCATACGACGCAAAAGTACACGGTGAGCTAATAGGGCCCGCATCTGTTGTTGCTGTAAAAACCGTTTTTTAAAAAATGATGACAGTCCCGCACACAGTGACGTCAAAATAACTGGCGAGAAATCTCAAACACGTTCCAGAGTAGGCAAATGCCGATGTGGAGAGTACGACTGTTACAAGACGTCTGGAACTGTATGGTAGGTGAAACTTGGCTTGTACAACAACGCATTAATGTTGAAAAACAGTAAATAACAAGATAAGAAAAAAAACGATTGGGTACTTCTGCAAGTGCCACGTGCACACTCAGCTAAACAAACCAACGTCAACAGCTTTTTGAGCACATTTTAAAACAACTGACGGTACTATCAAAACTCGAAATGTTATTGATGAAACGAGTCAAGAAAAAAATCCCGTAATAACTAATTCAATGGCCAATATTTTTATCCCTCTAACCTTCAAAAATTACAAATCAAAATCCAAACTGAAACAACCTGAAATGTGCCCCAAAATCAGTTTATACATATCCTATCGACTTGATTAAGCTACAACAAACGAATATCATTTGTATTTACTGAGTGACAGAAAAGTGTTATTTGATTACGTGTAGACACAAAAAATTTGATTCGATTGTCTAGCCAAGTGTTAGCAAAAAAAAGCGTACAGCATGACGTAAATATTTTGCGACATTTTTTGATTATGAACCATCTTTAATTGGCA